AGGGGGAACCACCTGTAACACGGGATGCATCCCTCCCATACGTCCGAGCGATGGTGGAAATGTGCAAGCGAGCGGCAGAGCGGGACTGCAAAATGGATAGCTAAAGTAAATGTATGTAGTAGTAGTATATAATACTATACGCCTATGGTTGGACTTGTCCTCTGGCTTCGTATCACTTCACGCTGCAGTGGTGACACGTCCATAAATGTAACGGAAGTGATGTGACGTGCTGACTGCGCCGAACCTCGTGCACAATTACATGTAAAATTTGTTTTTAATTGCAAAAAGAGTGATATGCGCAGAAAAGGGTAAATTCTCAAAACAAAAAAAAAAAAAAAGAAAAAGCAAAAAACGAAAAAAAACGCAATGGAATTGCAAAAATTAATCGAAAAAAAAGAAATCAACAAAAATAGCCAACCGTTTGTAATCGCAAATTTTGTTTTTTTTCTTTTACAATTTCATGTTTTTTTTTCAAACCAATTGTTCGAGAAATATTTTTTGCAAATTTTTATCCTTTTCGTTCTTTCATACTTTTACAAAAAAGAAAGAAAAATTCCCTTTCGTTATTTTACCATTTCGTCATTTTGCCATTTTGCCTTTTCTTTTTTTTTTTTTGCTTATTTTTCAAACTTCCTTTTCGTTGCTAAATTCCCAGCGATATTGCTTACATATAAGATTAAAACATATATATTTTTTTCCTTTTCTGCATTGACGGTTTTCCCCTCACGTATATATTTATACGTAAAACCCCCTTCTTTACGTGAATTATCTTTTCTTCCCCTTATTTTTCCTTTTTTTTACCTAAACGTTCAAAATGGCCAGGACCAAGCAAACCGCGAGAAAATCCACCGGAGGAAAGGCCCCCAGAAAACAACTGGCATCCAAGGCAGCGAGAAAATCCGCGCCAGTTTCGACCGGAATTAAAAAACCCCACAGATATCGCCCAGGAACTGTCGCCCTGAGAGAAATTAGAAAGTTCCAAAAATCCACCGATCTGCTCATAAGAAAATTGCCCTTCCAAAGATTAGTCAGAGAAATTGCCCAAGAATATAAAACGGATCTCCGATTTCAGTCCCAAGCTGTACTGGCATTGCAGGAAGCGGCTGAGGCCTACTTAGTTGGACTCTTCGAAGACACCAACTTGTGTGCCATTCACGCCAAGAGAGTCACCATCATGCCAAAGGATATACAGCTGGCCAGACGTATTCGTGGAGAAAGGTCATGATCGTGAGGCTTAGCTGAGGGGAAGGAAAAAAAACCCCAACGCTATGCAAAATAAAACAAAAATAAAAAAAAAACATAAAAAATTGAAAAAAAACCCAAAAAAAGCGAAAAATAGCCAAAAAGGCCATAAATAATGAAAAAATAAAATAATATAACAACGAAAAGGAAAGGCAAAAAATGGAAGAATCGGAAGGCAGAGTGAAGCAATGATCAAATGACGACTGGAGTGAAAGGATTTTCGCGCAGGAGGCTACAGCGAAGTGGCGAACACTACGGCCACTCAAGAGGCAACTGAAGCGACAACCGAAGGGGCAGCTTCTGATCCCTCGTGCTACCCGTGGGAGGGCGCGGCTTCGCCAAACGTTGCGCAGCGCCGGACGTATGCACATATATCTGCGTGCGTTATCCACGTGTATGCTAGTTGCAGAAGGCTTCCCTTGTTGCTTCCTCTCGCGAAGGGCGGTCACCTCGTATGTTCACATATGACTGCGTTGTATGTGTGTAAGTTTATATAGCCAGATGCATGTCGACTTGTGGGCCCCGCACAACTTGTGCTAGTACACGTATGTACGAACTCGCCTGCCCATGGAAAATTACCAAACGGTGATGTTAATAGGAGCATTTGGAGAGGTACGTTTGCCTCGGCATCACATTTGATCGTAAGAGGAAGTCAAAATTTGTTGGAAGCGTGGGGAGAAAAAAAAAAGAATACACATAGCAAGCTTCTTTTTGGAGACACTAATCGGTTTCCACTGCACAAGTGCTTGCTGACCCATGAGTGTTGAGGAGAGAACCAAATGCGATGTGTTAAATTGGCACAAGATCGACAACCCACACATCGCATGGAAAGAACCCCCCACATGACAGGCACACGGGTATATTGTACGTATGCACATATATTTACGTATATGTGGGTACCTGCACAAATGTACGAGCACACATTGGACGGGTATAGATATGGATAAGACTTCCTTACGACCTTGCGCGGCGGAAACGTCCAACGATTCGCCGTGTTGAGGCATTCGCAGCAGAGTGGGAGTAAATCTTCTTCGCTACGAACAGAGGAAGTACATGTCATGCGAGACTTTGGCTACACATCGAAGCAGCACATATATGAAGTTTGAAGTTCAGTTGTCAGCCAATTTTTTTTTTTTATCTCCATCTTCCCTCATCCCACTTCCCTTTTTTATTTTTCTCCCCATATAGAACTTTCTGCATCATACACGAAATTGTTTTGCCTTTACGTGTGTATGGGCATGTACATATACATATCCGTACACACATGTAAAGTAAGTGTCGGGGAGAAGGAGAAAGGAAGAAGTGTGTTCTGGGTGTTTCGCTTGCGTCCACCTTGCTCTCCTCCTCATACGTGTGATGATTACAAAATGTAAGTAAAAGGGCTTTTTTTTTTTTTTTTTTTTTTTTTTGACTTATTTTCCATATTCATTTTTCGTCATTATATATATTTATAAAAAAAAAAATGCGAACGCTTAATTTAATAATCATATCTACACATCTTTTTACTTCTGTCCTTGTGGCCATGTGGCACACCATCTTTGTTGTGCATACATGAGTATATAGTTTATGATGTTATTTAGTTTCCCTTAGTTTCCTTTTTTTTTTTTTTTTTTACATTTTTAGGCTTCACTAGAAGCTATTCATTTTTAATTTTTTTCTCCGTCACGATCAGCATCATCACCACGTGTTGTTCTTTCGCTTTCCATTTCGCTTTTGTTTTTTTTCTAATTACAAACCGAGCCTTCTGACAGCAATGTAAGAATTGAAATTCATGAGCTATCATATACTGTCTGTGGGGACATGGCGAACTTGAACGTGGGTCACACACTAAATGAGAAAACTCCTTTTTATCATTCCTTTTTATTAGCTCCTCTGTGTGCACATTGCACCATCTGGAGGTACTGTGTGACTGTGCCCCGCAAAGCAGAAGAGGATGAATACGCGTGGGAACAATGTCTTCCTTTCTTAATATTGAAAGGCTAACGTTACACCAGTGCAGCAGCATATGGACGTGGCATTCTCCTGAATTTGGTCCTGCACACCTGCGCAAGGACGTAGGAAAGTGTGAAGGAACGCCACAGGACAGCGTCTGCAAAAAAGCGATATACCCAGCTGACAACCTCCCATGTGTGCATTTGAACCATGATTCCCATTTGGTGTAAAGGAAACATATCCAGTGATGGTTTTTTTTTTCTTCTTCGTTGTTCCTTCTTCTTTGTTCCTTTTTCCTTCTTCCCTCTTCCTACGTTTGTGCTGCACTGTTGCACTACGCAGACGTGCTGCTTTCCGCAGGGGGAAACCCAGCATAGGAAACTCTCATGCGTAGGAGCACGCATGCAGAAAACGTCGCAGTGTAAATTTCTTTAGGGATGGATGGAAAAGGTGGTGTCAACCAGTTCGAACGGGGGGGTACCCATAGGTGCCAGCGCGGAACATTTGCTGCGGCTCAGTAGGTTGGAAAAGGTACCTTCTTCGTCTCTTCTTTCGCTTTTTTCCCTTTTTTCGCTTTTTTCTGTCTCTTCTTTTTTCCCCCTTTTTGCCGCCAACATGGGGGAGGGTAAACCCCGGTGGAACGTAGAGGGACGTGCACTTGGGAGGAGGTTAAATTGGAAGGAAAACCCCCCTGCTTTCACACGCGTCCCTCCGCAGGCATGGAAGGAGAATAAGCGGGGAATACAACATAGTCGTGGCAAAGGGGGGAATTCTACCCATAGAACTGCGCACCTGTCGTGCACCCCACGTAAACATGCATCCCCTGCGGTAGGGAGAAACCTCCCCCGATCGATCGACCCGCTTTTCCCCTTATGTGGAAAGTGAAAGACGTCCCTGACATTGCAGCAGAGTACGCAGCGCACTCAAAAGATATGCACAGACTGGGGAATGCCTCCCAAACGGGGAAGAGGAAACATGCAACATGAAACATGAAACACAAAACAGTCGTCAAAATGGTAGATCGTCCCTACAGTGCGAATGCGCCTCCCTCGTCGCACGTACCAAGTGGTGGCACATTCGTTCTATTTAGGAAAAAAAAAAAGAAAAAAAAATTCACACACACATGTGCGCAGTGCGAAGGAATGCCATGCAGGACAACGTGCAAATCGCGCCACCATCACCCCCTCCCCCTCGGCGACGTTATCACTAACTTGTGCAACAGTTGGCGTTGCAAAAGGGGGAAAAAAAATAACCATAAAAATAAGCGTAAAAATAACAACAAAAATAACAACAAAAATAGCAATAAAAATAACAGCAAAGATAACTGTAAAAGTAAAAGAGCAAATGGTATATCTCTTCTTTTCGCAATCGGAAGTAAGGATGTCCTTCTGCCTACGTATGTATATATAAATACACGTGCGTAGTTGTTCGCATTTTTTGCAACTCCTCTTGTTGTTTGTCTTTCCCTTTCCGCCGCAACCAGATCGGTGCACACGTGGATTGGGCCGCCTTCACCAGTCGCCCCTCACTTCAGAACAATTCAGAACAATTCAGAACAATTTAGAACAATTCAGAACAATTTTCTTTGGCCTTGCAATGGTGCCAAGTTTATCACCTGTGTCACTTCTGCCACTTTCGCCGGACTGCCAATTTGGCAAATTTTTTTAGCTCCCCCTTACGGCGTCCACTCCGCGGTGTGTTCCTCGCCGTCCCGGTTGACCCCCTCTCGCATAAGGAGGAAGACATCCCCTACACACCGGAGTGTTAGAAGTACCCATTTTTTTTCACACTGCACAGGGGTAACCACGCAAAGGTGAGACGCCACAATGGAAACGGAAAACAAAGGAAAATCGTCGAACGAAGAAATGGACTCCTCCACGGAGAATCTGGTGAACCAAAAATCGATCGAAAATTTGACATCCATAGATAACATAAAAAATGAAAAGATAAATCTGGAGGACAACAACGACAACTATTTTAATTACACAGAGGATGAGAGCCTTGTGAAAAATGAAGTTCAGTCAATCCATAATGTATGTACAGAGGCACACCAAAGGAACATTTTCAGTGAACATAATTTGGAAGATGCGTGTATCGATAGTTTCCAGATGAATTTAGCCGACAAGGACGATGCGGATGATGTGGACAATCCAGACAATGTGACCAATCCGGACAAGGACTACACAGACGCAGAGGTACAGATGAGGAACCAACAGGACATTCTAAAAATACTGGAAGATGAGGATACACACCTGGGGTTGGGAGGCAATCCCGGGATGGGGGCCCCTATCACAGGGCAACATCTTTCACTACGGTTGGATGTCCAATCAGGAGAGAACCTATTAGGAAATACAGGTGACGCGGAAAATGGGAAAAATGACTCGATGGCGATTGGCGGAGAAGACGCAAAGGAGGGGGTGCACAAAGAAGGAGACATAAATGGAGAGCCCCTTTCGGCTGGAAGCAACAACCACCAAGTTGCCTCCACTCATGAGGAGGACCAAGGAGGGGGAGCAGCAGCAGTAGCAACCGCAGCAGTAGCAGCCGCAGCAGGGGAAAACCCCTTCCGAGACGCCGATGAGGGGGACGACCAACCCCTGAGTCCTTTCCATGCTCCTAAAGAGAAGGCAGAAATAAATATAATTCTGAACAAGGATTTGCTGAAGGCGAAAAAAAGAAATGACAAAAGTAAAGACAGATGCAAAGACAGGGGCAAAGAGAGGAACAAATACAGGAACAAATTTTTCCGTCTCTTCCGAAAGAAGGATTGCCCCAATAAGGTGAAGCCCCAAGACATGTCCATGAATGAGGTGGCTTCTCTTATCGAAGGCGTAGGAGAGCGTCGCCGTTCCAGTAGCACCAACGGAAGCAGTGGAAGAGGGTATATCCAACACAATCTCAGTGGAAGCTTCAATGAGTACAATCGAGACCCCTGGAAGGGGGGCTTCAAACAGGGGGGCTTCCAAGAGGGAGGCTTCCAACAGAGGGACTTCCAACAGGGGTCCAGCGCCGGAAAAGATGTCACCAGTGGGGCACCCATCCCGATCCGAACCCCAACGGGAGAAATACACCAAGAGGGGGAGAACCAGGGGAAGGAACCCTTCTTCCAGAGAGAGGACCAAAACATCGTGGCACCCGTCCCGAAAAGTCGTACGTGCTCCATCAAGACAGACGACAACCTCATCATGGATCTACAAAATGAGCATATCGAAGCGATCGATTTGGAGGCAAACAAAGGAAATATCGGCACAATAGACCCAATGGCGACATTCAGATCGAGGAACACATATCCCCCGGCAAGGGAACAAAAACGTTCGTGCGAATCGATCACCAGAAAGATTTACAGTTTGGAGAAAATCAAATCCTTCATGTCTAATAACACCTTTTTAAAAGATAAAAAATCTTTTCTCCAAAAAAAGAAAACACAACTATCGAAGGAGTTAAATTTTTTTTGCCATCACTACAACGTCCTGTTGTGCTTCTTCCTGTATATTATCTGCTTCGCCTTTGTTACGTCCTCTATCTGTTACGACTCCTGGAAGGTGCACGAAATGGAACTAAAGTCAGAGAACACCGAGAAGGCGGTGCACATAGACATCGGTGCAACGACGATCAGACGGGTGGAAAAAGTCTCCAAACAAAACGGAGACGTGACTCTTTCGATTGACAAAGAACAAACCATGGAGTCATTAATAGCCAACGAAATATGCAAGCCAGTTACGAAAGAGGAGTTGGAGAATTTCCTAATATCCCTGGCCTCTAACAACATGCTAAAGTATGAACAGAATCTAATTGATCCCACAAAAGGGAAAGTAACGGATGATTTCCTCCTAGATGGACTGAGAAATCCGGCAGATGTAGGACTACTAAAGGATGATAAACTTGTCTTAGCACGGAAACATATTTTCGGACCAACCATCTACAATCTCGAGTGCAAATTTCTAGCCAAAATAAGGAAGGCAGGTACATATCATATGATTCTTCTTTACGCAATATTATTTTTTCTATTAATACCCATCTGCCTTCTGTTCCATATTCTCTTCAATAACAAAAAAGAGAAGAACGTGCTGCTGCTTAAGTATATCTCCTTCGTCCTTGTCAATCTGGCACTCATCACGATGATTTCCTCTCTCTTCTCTGTTAACCGAGCGTACAACATCCCCTTGTGTGTTATGAATGATGGCAGTTCAGACATCTGTGAGGATGGCACCTCCATCCACTTAATTCGTTCGTCCATCATTTTGTTAATTTTTTCGAATTTGTTCTTCTGCAAGTTTGTTAATGTTCTTCGCAAGAGGAGCAGCACTCTCACGGAATCCCTCGGCTGACTTCCTCGGCGGGGTGCTCCCCCTTGAGGTGCTTCCACAGACGCTCCCACTTCGGCCCCTTCCAATGTGTAATGTCACCAAGGGGAATATTTCTACTCCTTTGTCTTTCTTTCTTTCTTTTTTTTTTTTTTTTTCGAACCTATAAGTGGGAGGAGGGCCCGAGGCGGGGAAGTCTTCTCTCCCCTTTCTGTGTAGCGGGGCGGGACCCGCATATAACTCATTAACTTTTTTCGCCCTCCCTCTACTCGGCTCGGTGTGAATTTTTTGAAGCCTCTCCAAAAGGCTACATTTCGTTGTATTTATGTAGGCATGTATCTATGTAGGCATGTATCTACGTAGCTATGTCTGTAAGCCCCGTTGGGGAAGCAAAAAAGGGGAACCCTCTGGGAAGAACGACCCCCCATCCCCACTATAGCGGCGTCACACAGGTCCAGACGTCGCAAGTGGTATTTAAGGCATAAATAGATGACATCACCCCCTTGTGGGGCTGCTTCTTCCCTTTGCAAATGTGTTCCATCGTCTGCTTCAACACATCATCCGATTCAACACATCATCCGATTCAACACATCATCCGATTCAACACATCATCCCGTTCAACACATCATCCCGTTCAACACATCATCCGATTCAACCCATCATCCGATTCAACACATCATCCGATTCAACACATCATCCCGTTCAACACATCATCCCGTTCAACACATCATCGGATTCACCCATTTTACAGGGAGTATTCTCCAGATCACCAACTGCGGAAGCAGGATGGTGGCTCCCCCGAACGCGATTCTCCCAAATGGCTGCCTGCCAATCTGGTGCTGCACAGTCACAGGTGCGCTAACCCGTGGTCGACTTCTGCAGCGCATTCAAGGGGGCATCTCCCCCCCTTGCTAGTCGCACTATATTTTTCCGCCCCTTTTGTTTGTGTTTTTTTTTTTTGGGATCCCTCCGACGAACAGAGCAGATGAGGCGTAGCAATTGACCATTCTGTCGACCGTTTAGTCAAAGCTTCAATCGACGATTCACTCAACAGTTCACTCAACAGTTCAGTTGAAACTCGTATTGAGCGGCTCTCTCCATCCGGCACGACGTGGAAGCTTACCTTTGTAGGCTACCCCCTCGTGTGAAAATGCTGCCTATTTGGCCAGGCCCCCCAGCGCACCCCCGCGTTGTTCTCATTGGCGGAGGCGTTTACAGCGCGAAGGACAAGAATGAGGGTTCCTCTCCCCCGGGGTCCATCCCACCTGCTGCTGCGACGGCGATGGGCTAACAGAATAACCGCGGGGAGGAGTCTCGCGGGCCCGAATTTTCACCCCTACAGGAGCGTCACCACTGTGGAGAAGCAGCAATGGACGCAAACACAGCGGAGGGTGCAAACGCAGCAGAGGACGAACCGGTCGGAAGATGAGCTGGAGAAAACCATAAAACTGGTGGATCAAATTTTAAAAGAAAACAATTTCGACGTGTACATGAAGGGAATGGGCGATGGAGGAGTCCCCAAAGCAGCGACAAAAGAGGTAGACGCGTATAAATTTCTCCACTTACTAAACAGGATTCTCCTTCTGAGCAGAGAGGGCGAAGGCTCCTCCGATGCGAAGACGAACATATGGGAATGCCCGACATTTTTAAATCTCCTCGGTTACATCAGATTAAAAATCCCGTCATTTAACACACACGAGATGTTCCTCTTCGCCTTGTGTTTCTCAAAAATACAGTTCATGCCTCAGATGCTAATGCAAGATTTTCTCTTAACTGTACAGGAGAAAACCTTCTTACAAGGCTTCTTTGAAGAAGACGTAAATAAATTTTTTCAGTTTTTTTTTATCGTTACTAGTATTAAGAACGTGCGGATGGGGGATAAAACGGATTCTCTGTTCGCTACCTTTGCGAGTAATTTTGTGCAGGTCGTCTTGGACTTCCTCGCTGGGGGGGGTGTCACCTCTGAGGAATGCACACCGGGAGATTTACTCAGCGACTTACCCAGCGACTTACCCCGCCGCTTACCCCTGGATTGCTACCACCTCCTGTGTGTCGCCCTCCACAACGCAAACGTGAGGAATGCCCCCCTGATGCACCGAGTAGGCATCGAAATAGTGCACCTCCTAGACAGGCACCACCCCGACCAGAACGACCGAATCGATGCGGCGAAGAAGCTCATTAATATCTACCTCGCGTATGCCTCCCTACGATGTGAAAATTACCACCTCTATGAGAAGCTGAATACATTTCTATACAGCCTTATTGAGGAACTACCTCTGGCTAGCTGCCTGACTTTGTTGCTATCCATAGCGACCCTGAAAGAACAAAACTCTTTTAACTTCCCCCTATGTATGCTCTCATCATTGGAGAAGCATTTCTATTCCAAATTTTACTCCCTAGATGAGAAGGATCTCCTCCTACTGATTTATTTATTAAGTTATCTCAATCTGCACGTAGCAAATACAGATACGTACGTATGTATGCTGGATTACCTCCTCAATTTCCACAAATTTGAACCATCTCAGGAAGATGAACGGGTTAAGTTGTTTCAGATTTATGTAACCTTGATGCAGTCATTCCCGAGTGAAATATCAGGTGGGCACTCGGCCGCCCTGTCTACCTTCTGCGACGGAGGGGACAATGACCCCTCTCCGGGAAGATCAACACAAGGGGGTGGACTGCACCACGAGACGGCAAGCCACACAAACGGGAGATGCGGTAAAGAAGTAGAAGCACACGAGTTAGACCAGGCCGCACGCCGAAATTGCGATGAAGAAGTAGAAGGACATGAGTTACACCAGGCCGCACGCCGAACCATGCTGCAAAACGCCCTACGAAAGATCCAAGGCAGTATGCAGATGGAGCCTGAACAGAGCCCACAAGAATACGCACAGGAATTAAATGAACATGTGGATAGCCTGCACGAAATGCTACTCCAGATGAGTGGAAACACTTTCTTCATAAAAAATTTGAGCAAGAATAGAGTGTTACATAACTACTACCTCAGTCATATCTGCTTCGATCTTAAAAAAGAGGAGAGCTCAGAAACGGAGTCTCAAAAAATTGCTATCCTTTTTGACACGGACAGGACCCATTTGTGCGATAACTCCTTTGATATTTACTATAACATGAAGCGGAACCATCTGACTAAGTTAAATATAAAGTGCTTCTCGATTAATCTGCACCAGTGGAGGGAGCTTTCTCCCGAGGAGCGAAGGCAGTTCATCGCGTTTGAGTTAACACACAGGTACTTTCCCTGCGCGACTTCTTCTGCGTAGCAGATGTGAGTGGCTCTTTACCACTGCATAGTTTTTTTTTTTTTTTTTTCTTTTTTTTGTTACCCTGTCCTTTTCATTATGAATGCTGCCAAGCCGAGGCGGTTATCTTACGAGTTGGTTCGTCCGGTTGGCCACGTTGCGCTCGTCCGTGAATCAACCAAATTGCACATTAATTTATCAGGTTTTAATTAATTTTTTTTTTAACAAAAAGGTTAGTGGGGGGGAGGGGAAAAAAAGGACATATATAAAAGGAGGTACAAGTATGACCGACAGGGTGGAGAAGCGGAACCAGCAGCGGGGAAATATGGAACCAACTGCCGAACCAACCGCGCTAGTACCCCTCGGCGAACTCCTCCACGTCCTCATTCTCGTAATCCTCCTCGTCGTAGGACATGTCACCATAAATCATGTCGACCTCGTCCTTATAATTCTTAAGAGCGTTCTTGACCTCATTGGGCTTCTTCTTATTTATGAGAGCATACCTTTTTTTCTTTTCCCTCTTTTCGATAAGTTCTTGGATCTTCCTATTGATACTCTGCAGTTCTTTATCCTCTAACTTCCCTTCGCACGCAGGAAGGATAATGGAGAGTAGCCTTTCTATGGCCACACTCTTGGCTCTACTTTCGTGTATTCTCGCTGCCAAAATTTCTCCTAAGGTTTCACAGTCCTTTATAGAGTTTAGGGGTGTGCTCTCTAGTGTTATGATTTTTTCTTGCTGTTTACTCTTAGCTGGGGCATGACTTTGTTCATTTTTTTTTTTTTTTTTTTTTTTCTCATCGTCGTCATCGTCTATTCCTAGAAAGTCTGCTATGTCGTCCACATTGTTTTGTAAAATTTTTTTCTTGATCGCTTCATCCTTGGCTGTTGAATCAAGATTAAAATCTTCTCTTTTTTCCCCCTCGTCGTTGAGCCACTCTGTCCAGTCGTCCACTTCGGTGTTGCCTTTCTCTGCGCGCAGGGAGTGGAAGCGGGGTGTTACACGCATGCGCAGAGGTATTTATACGCACGCCCTTACGTCAGTAGCGACGGGAGAGTGTGTCCACATAATAACTCCTCTATCAAGTGAGGGAATCCCATATATCGATCGAGTTTTCTACGGTCACCTGCCGACGGCGCACAACTTACCCATTGGGAACGCCACACGGGGGGAACTTCAAAGGAAAATTGAACCTACGGCGCGACAGCAAGCGCGGTTATGGCGAAAGAAGAATGGAACGACGGAAGGGGGGAGCCTTGCAGTAGTCGAGTACTGGAGCTGTAGAGCAGTACAGCAGTACAGCGATGGGGCAGCAAAAGAGAGGGGAGGAGAAATCGCCAGATCAGCCAAAACTGGCAAGTGCAACACGTTTACAACGAACTTTTGTCGTAGCTTCCCTTTTTGCAAAGAAAAAAAAAAAAAAAAAAATTATTATTATTACTACTGTCGCTGTTTTCTAGGCTTGGCAATCGCACGCGCAAGTTGAAACTTGTGGCGGTTACATAAAGTTATCAAATGATGATGCCGAGAAAATGATAAGGCAAGAGAAAAAAAAAGATCGGCAATTTGCGACCGACCGTTTTGCTTGTATACAGGCACCCATTCGTCAGCGCTTACACTAAAAAATAACCAGAACGGATTATTGGAAGAGTTTTTTATCTTATTTATTTTTTCTTCTTATTCATGTAGTAGCTCCAGAAATTGTTATAGGATGGAAGGTGATGTGTTCCCCCGAAACATGACGCAATGGATGTGTTGAATGGGCGGGCTACGCGTCACACAACAGACTGGTGGCTGCGTGTGTCCCAGCAGGCGTGCGTTCACAGGGGCATAGCACCCCTCGCCCCATGGATGCCATACCTATATCCCTTCCCCCCATGTATGCATGCGGAAGGGGAAGGAAAACAAAGCAGAAAAAACAAAAAAGCAAAAAGAAAAAAAAAACACCCCATGGAGTGTTACAAATATGCACATACCAACTGCTGCATGGACAAAGGACTGGCAAGCGATAAAGAACATTATCAGTTGGCACGGAAGAAGCTTTCCCATTTTTCATATTTCTTCGTAGTGCAACTATGGACGGAGCATTCGCTTTATCTGCGGAGTGGTTCTTTTATTTATTTTTCTTTCTTTTGGCGCTATGAAGGGCTGTCCTTTGCCCATTCCGACAGCTACTCACCGTTACGAAAAAACATTTTTCTTATGGTGGGAGGAATAGACACTTCCTCTCCTTCTGCCAAAATGCAACGCTTGAAAAAGGAGTTGGAGAGGGCGTTGTCAGAATGGAACAACCTTCTGCAGTGTGAAATGAAAGAAGAAGAAAAAAAAAAAAAATTAACAACATGGCAAAGGAACCCCGAGCAATATCCCATTCGATTTACCTCAAAACAGAGTGGTCGTTTGGCGATTTTTTTCTTTTTTTGCCTCCCCCAAAAAGGTAGACATAACCCCCCTCTTTATAAATCCCAATTTACATTGCCATCTTTTCGCACTCTCATCAAAAGGTGCACGTTACGAGGAATTATTTTTTCCATTCCGGTTATACGTCTCATTATCGCAGGGTTAAACGTTGCCGATGAGATGGGCATTTGGATTCGAGAAATGTGTGAAGTTCGTCCGACTTTCCCAAGCATTTTATGTGCGTGAATATGCAAGGGAAGGAAACATCCGGAGCACTAACAGGCACATGTTTGTTGCCGCAAATGTTCACCACGCCTCTGGGGCATCCCACAACGTGTTTGGGGGGGATCACATCGGTTTATTCGCACCATTCAAGAAAATGTGACAACTGTCCATCATGCTTGCACTCGCGGGATTGGTTTCCCATTCGGCCACATAGATGGGGTTTCGGCACGAATATTGTTAAGGACGTCTCACCCTCCGTCATGTTTTAAAAGGGTTAATAAGTGTGTGTATGCACGTGGGAGTATTTCTCGTATGGGGGGAAAACTCACCAAATGGAATTTTTTTTTTTTTTTTTTTTTGCTGACCTGTTCAGGTAATTTCTTCCAAACAGCTGCAACATTTGGAGGGGACAAATACTTGCGCGCTGTTGTGTTTGCTGACAACGGTGGGTTGTTCATTTGGATTTTTTCCAAAGAGGCTTTGTCATGTCATTTATTTGTAACAGAGTGGCTTACGTGTAGGTAGGGGTACGAAGCGGAGTATTTCTTTTCTTTTTGCATAAACATCTTTTTAAAGAAATCGATTTGGGGGGAGGATAAAATGGAAGCATACGAAACCCTTATCGGGGGTGGCATAAGGGAATAATTTATCTTAACAACTGTTACCTGTTCATTTTTATTTTTTAAGTGGAACGCTTCTTTGCGTTATGAGAGGGTCAAATAAACGCGCCTTAGGTGTAGCCGTCGAGTTTGTTTCTCCTCAAGAGGAATATGCTTCCCATATTTTACCTTTCCCTTCCTCAGTGAACAAGTGCAAAGCAATATTTTGGGATTTACCCCTTACGGCAGCATTTTACGGGGAGAGTACCCGCAGAGGGCGAGAAAAATGGCCCGCGACGGGGAAGCCCCCTCCTATTCTGCCACGCATAACTGCAGGAGCAAACGCGAGAAAGGATACACCATGTGGCGCAGTCGTGCCCGCGGGGAGCAGCGAAGCGAGAAGCGGCTTGCCAAAATAAGGCGAATTGCAGGGACGTAAGAAAAAAAAAAAAACAGATAACAGGTGACAGATAACAGATAACATCTCAACAACTAGCGAGAAAAAACAAACTCAACAATTGCAGGAAATCCCATCCCATTTCGCAGCAGCTAAAAAGAAGTAGCAAACGTTTGGGGGAAAACAACTTCTTGTATGAAAATATATTTACGACGCAGCATATAATTTCCCTTGCGGGGAACGCGAAAAAACGCAGAAAAACACAAGAGCGTGAAATTTGAAGCAACCCCACAGAAGTGAAAACAACCAACGGAACATAAGAGGTAAGTTGTTGTTCCCCTCGTCAAGGGAACAAATAAAGGTGACATTTCGCAGTCGCCTGAGGGAGAGAGGCTGGGAAAGTAGCCCATTTTGAACGTATGCCCAACGGGAAAAGGGGTGGGCCTCAAATGTGGAGCAAGCATCCTGTATAGAAAAAAAAATAGAATAAAATAAAATAAAAATGCTAAAGAAAAATCCACATAAAAAGAGAAGCCGCCACGAAGCAAATAGCGGTAGGGGGGGACATCTCCCCTTGCCGAGATGTGTTTAACTAACATGATGGATGCCATGGGACGAGGAATCCCCTCCCCCCGATGCGAAGAATATAGTAGAAACACCCCAATTTGTGCTGTTTCCCCCTTTTTTTTCTTTTTTTTTTCATCCCCGAGCAGTTAGCACAAAATGGCGACGCGATTTAAGAAGAACAGGAAAAAGAGAGGACACGTGTCCGCCGGTCACGGTCGTATTGGCAAGCACAGAAAGCACCCCGGTGGAAGGGGAAAGGCTGGTGGTATGCACCACATGAGAATCAACTTTGACAAATATCACCCGGGTTACTTTGGAAAGGTGAGCCCCGCGCGAGGGTGATAGTATGATAATCTGCCAGTGTGCCTCTGTGCTAATGTGCCAGTGTGCTCCTGTCCTCTTGTCCTCCTCTGTTCGTACTCGCGTACCGCGTGCGAAGCTCCCGTGTTACATGATCGAGTCACCCCCCGCTTTTCCCCCCCCAGGTCGGTATGAGACACTTCAACCTCCTCAAAAATAGGAAGTTTTGCCCCACCATAAACGTGGACAAACTGTGGGGACTCCTACCTGAGGAGAAGAAGAAAGAATTTTTCGAAAATAAAAACATTGCCCCAGTGATAGACGTAACCAGAAAGGGCTTCTTCAAGGTCCTCGGAAATGGAAAGCTCAAGCACGGCCAGCCCATTGTCGTCAAGGCCAGGTACTTTTCGTCAGTGGCCGAGAAAAAAATTAAGGCCGTTGGGGGCCAATGCATACTGGTGGCTTAAGCGGCGAAAAAGGGGGAAAGAAGAAAAAAAAAGGAAAAAAAAGGAAAAAAAAGGAAAGAAGACGGAAAGAACAGGAACATAAGACCGAAAGAAGAGGAACTTAAGACGGAAGGAAAACCCCAAATGACCCATAACACTGCTAACGCTACCGTCATTGTCAGTGTTGATATTTTTCATTTTTCACCTTTTTCAACGCCAAGTACGTCTCAGTGTGCATGCCTTCTCCTCACGTTTCATATGGCCTGCCGAGCGCAGTAGCAACTCCGAACAGATCAACAAATGCGTAGTAACGAAACACTCTTAAAAACGACATAAAATTAAAAAAAAAAGAAAAAAAAATACGCCTCAAATTTGAAGCGAAAATATGAATCCAATCCCGTAGGAGCAGGTGATTAGGAAAAATGAGAAAACCCACAAACTGATGACCAAAGAGTGAAGGTTGAATGGAAACAGGGGAGGTGAGGAGGAGAGTAAATACAAATGAGATTGCAGGACGTATCCCCGCGATGTAAACAATGGGAAGAGTGCAAACCCAACATGTCTCCTTTTAACATGCAAAAATGCAATGTAAACTGTTGTGTGCGGATGTCCTAAACAGGTCCAATCTGCAAAAAATATATGCTTAGCATGTGAAGGGATACTTTTTGCTCCTCATCCGAGTAAACACGGAAATGCCTAGACATGAGAAGATGGCGTGTCTCTTCCTTCTTTGGTACACCTCTCTCCCCTCCTCGGGTGCACAATGCACCATCGCTCTCTCAGCCATGCCATCCAAAAAGATGGTGCAACAGATGTACAAATAGAATGGAAACGCTCATTCTCGAAATGTCATAAAGACGTCGGATTTTACGTAGTTCCGTGTTCATGGGGGAGACACAACTCTTTTCGATTGCCTTGTTCTTCTGTATAGCAGATCCTGAGTAATTCTCTTTCTTCCCATCCGCATGCTTCAGTGACTCATTTAAATATATTTGCATTTCTTGTGGAGACCTTGCCGGCACTTCTCGACGTACTGTAGCTTTCTATATCTATTTCTAACTGTCCGTCCAACTCGTTGTCTGAGTCCATTCCCGGGTCTACTTCCCCCCGCTGGTTTAGAATCTTCCGAAAGGTGGCCGGCATAAACAGCGGGAAGAAGCCGCTCTTCTTGGGCACGAAAAAGAGCAGGACGGTTAGCACATTGGTCACTAGAATTAGGTAAAGCAGGCCGTTCCTTGCGTATAGGTCTCTGCGGGGTGAGAAAATGGACAAACGGATTGATGTGCAAAAGGGTGGAAGTGCAACGTGAAGGTGTCGAGGGGGACGCTTCTGCCCGGTGCCAAGAGCCCCCCGTCGGAGCAGTCTCAGTCCCAGTCACAAGTTTAAAACGCGGCTCGCTCGCATCACCCGATCAAGCTGAGGTTCTTCAGGGCTAAATCGAAAAAGGTGAATCCGTGTGGCTTCTTTGCATACGCGGGCAAGAGTCTCTGTAGGCAGGGGAGGGGGAAAACAAACGAGGAACATTAGTGTAGAGTAATCCGTTTGGCGCATATGAACTTGGCGTGAAACCCTTTGGTGTGTAACCCCTTGTTGTGTAACCCCTTCATCTGCCATAATTTGACGCCTGACCACTTGAGAGGCAGCGCCGAGGCGGTGAAAGAACGTCCACCTGCTTCGAACTCGCTCGGGAAGCGGCTTTCCTTGCAGATCCTACCAGTGAGATTAGGGGCGCCCCGGACGACAGAAACATGAGGAGACACGTGTTCAGCAGGATGGTATCCAGGTAGGTGCTCTTCCTCTCCAGGGCCAGAAGAAGTCCCACTTTTAGCTTATAAATAATGGGGGAATGACGAATAGGGGAATGTCGCACGACACACAGGACATTGAGTGCCATCGAGGCAATAACCTCACTAGCCATCCCAATATACATCATCACGTACACATCTGCGAAAAACGAAAAAAACTTCCCTTTCCTCTGCGTGCATGAACCAATCACACAACTCGCTCAAATGGCACACCTTGTGGCATATGTAGGAGAAGCCGAAAAAGGCGCAAACGAGAAGGTAAGACGTCACCAGGGGGTAAACCAGCATCGAAAGGAAAAGTGAGTCCTTCCACGCGAGGAGCTGCAAAGTGGTGGCAGTGGGGGGATAGAGATAAAAAAAAAAATTAGTCACGGTTAGGGTTCATTAGCAATGGGAGGTTGCCTAATGGTGGAAGCGGATCTTCGCTCGTGTACTGATCAAACTGTATTGGAGAGTTTCCATCGACAAAGGCGTGTTGGAAGGAGCCCTTCTCCCCACGCACGTACCTCCTGTGCAGCGTCCCAGTGGAGAAGAAACCAGCCGCGCACGAACTTGTCCCGTCCGGTTGGCCCCCTCAGGATGCAAAAGCAGATGTGGGCAATTATAGTCCCACTAGTGAGTAAAAAGAGAAAACCCAGCAGGAACCGTCCAAAAGAAGATGACACACTTGTCGGGTTGTTGTAACGGTGCACCAATGTTTCATAGTCTACTTCTAGCCTGTGCACCATATAGTTAAGCATTCTTTTCTCCCGTTTGTACTGTATGTTTTGCAAAATCGATTTCCAATAATTCGACTTCCGTGTTTCCTCTCTGTTGAGTTCCACCTCTTGGGTGATCTGCAAAAGCTCTTCTGCCTTTCTGTTGATGCGCGTGAGCTCATGCTTGAATATCGCTTCCCTGCGTTCGTCCGCGCGGTTGGTGAGGACTATGTTGTTCCCTTGGGCGACACGATTGGGTTCTCCCCCCTGACAGCGACTGACGCCGGAAAGGAATACCCCAAGGGGAAGGAACACCAATCCGATGCCCCCGTAGACGGCAAATCCGATAGAGCCCATCAACGAGACAAACATAACGATATAGTCATTGAAATTTATGTTAAAGTCAATTCGGATGTTTTCATTCCCCACATTTTGGCAGCTCTCATGACTCCTCAGATTGAGCGAAAGTAGTTTCTTTTTGTTGGTTTCCTCTAAGTAAGGGTACCACAGTGCACAGCCATCCGCATTTAAAGACAAGCTGATTTTGTGAAAATACAGATAGGTTAAAAAAAGAAGGCAGCATGACAAGGATATGGAGAGTATCCATATTAGAAGTACGTTTTTACAGATGGCACTTGTCGTATGTGTATTACATGTCTTACTGAAGTAACTCCTCCAGTGAGTGTATGTCCCTTTGTTTAATCGATTTGCATGCTGATCTGTGTTGGACATCTCTCCTCCTTGCGAGTACACCACTGCTAACCATGGCGTTAGGATAAATATGTAGCTCCCGAAAATGACGTACATTGCTTTGCACAGCTGCGTTGGGTTGAAATGCTCCTTCACTCTGGGAAAGGAGTCAACTTGGGCCACTGCTGGCACGAGGATTATCATCCCCATGCATTGTATGTACCCCATGATGATGACGAGCTTTATAGTTTTGTTTAAAAAATTGTTTCTCTCGTCTTTGTGGCCGTATGTCCTTAGCAACCTCCACCCTACTGCCCCCGCGGCGGCCACGTACCCGATGAGCAGGGCCAACAGGGCATACGCATGCATTTTGCGGGGTAGGCAGCACGGGATGGCGGCAGGGGATAGCGCCTTCCCAAGACGCCAATGCGCGGACGCTCCTACAGATGTGTACGTGGACACAGGTGTAGATTGCGAAATTGGGATGATTGGAATGGGGGAGGTGACCTTGTCGCTTCCCACCTTTCTCGGCATGCCCAACGGCGAATCGCCTTTGCCTTGGTTTGCATCTGTTGGAAATTGACTGGCATTAACTGATTGGCCATAAATGCATGGCTTTAATAGATTGGCTATAACTGCGCGCCTATAAATGCACAGCTACAAATGCATGGCAATAATTCGTTGGCTTTACTCCGCCCGATTGTTCATTCCCCTTTTTCCGAAGCGGCGAATGGAGGGGTTACCAAGTTGCAAATCGAAAAAGTGGCGAAAGATTGACGCATATTTCGACGTAAAAGAGCAACACCAGAGTTACTCTAAGATGGAAAAAAAAAAAATTAAAAGTTCGT